ATTAAACACAACTAAACAGGTCTAACTGGCATGAATAGCCCCATTAGCTTATCTGATTACTCGCTCTGTGTGCGCCTGCAAGTTCTGCAGGGGGCTTACTCATGTGCTTAATTTTACTCCGTGAAGTCAATGAATAATAATAAAACTCATAATAAAATTAAGCACCTGAATAGACTTCATCAGGACCAAGGTCCGAGCTGTTAAATTTTATAACCAACTTACAGAAGAAACAGCAATGGTGGAATCTGAAGTGCCTGTTTAGGGAGATGCAACCTGGACTCTCTGGTCTGACATTTGTGGTCTGGCAGGACCATGAATGTTCCTGGGCCAGAGAGCCATGGTGGCTGAGAGGTGAGAGCCCTATTGGACAGGGAGCTAGGGCTGCATGCAGCCTTGCAGGGGAGCTGGGGCTGGAGGCACACAGTAGTGCAGCAGAGGGCTGGGTCTGTGGCAGCCCGGCAGGGACTGTCAGCAGGGTGACCTGCCAGGGCCGGAAGTGGAGCCAGTAGTGGGCTGGGGAGCTGGTGGCAGACATCCCCTGGACTGGCAAATTACTAGTCTGGACCTAATGGTGCCAGACCAGGGAGATCCAACCTGTACTGCATATGCTTATTAAGTGGCAGTAAAATTGGTTTACAGCAGCACTGTCAATTAAGTACCTTTTCAGATACTGAAATTGAACAGCTTGCAAACAAATGCTACATTAATATCAAAGTTGTAATTAATAGGAAACAAGTGAGAATAATTCACGTGAATTTTCAGAGTGCTTAAGTTTTTCTTAATCATCTTTAAGAAGCTGATATGTAGGAGATGAAGTGCAAAGTCTTGTGAATTAAAAATTAAGTAAAAAATTGAATTGAGAAAAAAAAAAGAAGAATGGTAAGGCATTCTAGGGATTGGTAAGTAGGAACCATGTTAAGAGAATGACTTAAGACTACTATTCATTTCTGTATGGAATCCTCAGAAGATTAACGTTTAAGAACAGATGAATATATACCTGATGTGCATTAGCAGTTTAAAATGCAAATTGGATACTTAGGGCAAGTAATAAAAATCAAGCTTTGTACACTCGCAAGTAGCAAAAATTTAACTGTATTTGTTTCTTAAAAGATTGCTAAATTGGTTGCATTCCTCCAGCAGGAACATATTTATAACCAAGAAAAAGGTGTTTGTTGATACAGATTTTTACCAAAGCACACTATCAATATAAATAAGCAATCAGTATAACTGCATTCACAATAGGGAGTTTTAATGACTTGGAAAACAATACTTAAGTCAGTACAACTTTGTGGTTAGACAAAGTGCTTCACAAATGTTCATCCTCACAACACACCTGTGAGGTAGTTAAGTACTGTAGTAATCTGGGTAAAAGACACCCCAGTACACACACTCTTACCATTTGGATAATGGAAAAAAAAATTGAATTTTACTTGCCTATTAAAAAAAACACAGTCTCTCTCTCCAGACAAGTAGAGTTTTGCGAGGCTGAACTCTAGAAAAAACGGTTGGGTTCAATATTTCCTCTCCATGTCACATTGGTTTGACTTAACTGCAACAAGACAATTTGAGAAAGAAAACCCTGTTCATTAATCAAGAGACTTCCTGGAAGTCTGGGCAAAATATTACATTCCCTGTGCGGAAGCCGCTTAGTTCTCTGCTCTACAGAATCTTAGTTACAGCTCTAACTAGTATCTTATATATTTTTTTAAATTTGATATAACCCAAGTTATATCAAATTTCACACTTGCCAAAGTCTCCATTTATCCCACTGTATCAGGGTTTTTTTTAAAAATAAAGTCTCAGTTGCTTATTTGCTATTCTCCTCCCTCCCCCCTTTTTTGCAGCTGCTTTAAGGTTCTTCAATAAAACTTTGTCAACTTTCAACAGATGACAAATTAATCCAAAATGATGAACCATGTAAGCCGCCTATTCATTAATTTCAGTGTTTGAATATCTATACTCTGCATAATAAGGACTGTTTAAACATTTTTAATCTGTAACTATTAGAAAGCTGCCACAGCCTGAAATTTTTTGTCTCCCTTTGCTAGAACACAAAATAAAATTTAGCAATGCAAGTGAATTTTGATTTGGTCTGACTGACATCTAGTATTCTACTATAAAAATAGTTAAAATATATTTTCAAAATCTAATTGTGCAATACAGATAAAGAAAAGTTAATTTTAAACTTAATTTATACAATGTTCCAAAAATAGATTTTAGCATTCTTTTTTTTTTAGAAATGCATTTCAAAAACCTAAAACATAGGTCAACAATTTTGCTATAGGATAAAAAGTAAATTAAAAAAGAATAAACACACCTGCTTGATTTTTAAAAATTTATTATTGCTACAAATATCTACTTAGATAACTAATTTTTCAGTTGCTGTATTCTCCCCTCACCTCCTCCGTTTACACTATGAATTGGATGGCACTTTACATATAGTTTTGCTATTTCCCTATTTCAACAAGAGAAAGGAAAACCATTTAACAAGATAGGAAAATTTGGTTGTAGCATCATAAATATTGAGGAATCAGGCCAAGTGTATATACAGTAAACTTCCGATAATCTGGCACCTTTAGGACCCAGGGGGTGCCGGATTATCAGATATGCCGGACTATCAGAAGGGGGGGCTATGAGGGGTCTGGAGTGGGGTGGGAGGGGATGCCACCCAAGACCCCACATAGCCCCCCCTTACGATAGTCCGGCTCTGCCCCAGGCGTCCCTGATTCA